TGAATAAATAATAATAAAATAAAATAATATGTATTTACTTTAAAAAAATAAAAATTAACTACTAACAAATTTAAAAGAAAATGTAATTGTTTTTTTTTTTTATCAATTTATAACTTGAGAGTGTGAAGATTTAAACCCTAACTTTAAAGTTAAAAGATGCACCTTACTACAAATATAGAGTTATTAAATCATAGCTTTAAATCCACATTCCTTTATGTGTAAATGTTCTTCAATAGAAAAGGTTTAAATACCAACGAAAGTTGGATCAAGTGGTAAGTGATTTATTTCAGCTTAAACAAAGTCTCGAGTTCGAGATATTGTGTATGCAACAGCTCCTGCTAGGAGACTCACCCACCATTTCCAGGTGCGTGATGCGGATTGGGTCTAAATTAGTCGGACAAAACTCCAGGTACCGGGCGAGAAACTAAAAAAAAGACAAGGCTTAAATCTCTATTTAATCATTTCAAGATTCCAACATAAAAGTTAAAACCATTTTTTGCAGTCTTAAATTCTTCTTTGTTGCCACAATCCTGGGAGAAAAAGTTAAATACCATAGATAGATAATGGATGGAGATTTTATTTCATTTCTTTCGTGGGTGCAGATTGATATCTTATAAAAAATATACAAATAAATAATGGGCAGAGATTTTTTTTGTAATAATCTCCTTATATATATAGTAATTATATTGAAAGAAGTTTTTTAATATCTATTCCTCTATTCACCATATACAAATTTAAAAATTTATTTAAAAAAAATTAAAATCTTTTAATTTAGATCACCAGATTATTGGTATAATAAGTAAAAATTTTCATCATATTTGTTCATTAAAAAAGTGTTCTTTCTTTGAAAGAATAACCTTGAGAGAATATTCTTGAGATTTAGTGATTATTTATCTTTATAAGAGACTTATCGCATATATGGTTTGGCTTACTGAAATTCGACTTTCACTCTTAATATTCAAAAATAAAAAATTCTTTGAAGTTTAAATAATATAATTTAAATTATTAAATAAAAATAAAATTTTTAAAATTAAGTATTATTATCTTTAATCAAATAATAATTTTTATTTTCCAATAAAGAGGTATGATGGGCGTTGCCTTCCTCCCCATTAGTTAGTTAATTTGTTTTTTATTTTTTTTACATGTATTAAAAATAATAATAATTTTTATTTTATAGTTTAATATATTTTAAATTATAAAAATAAGACAACAGATTTTTGAAAAATGATTTCATATTCAGAAATCTAAAATTTAGGAAATAAAGGAAATAATATAAATTCCATCGCCCCCCAGACTTATTATTTTGCATTTTTTTTAACTAAAATAATATAATTAAAAAATAAAAAATAAAATCATTTAAAACTTAAAATTTAAACTCTAAACATCATTACATTTCTCAAAAAAAAAATTGTAATTATTAGTCAGGTTTCTTTTGCATTTTATTCTAAATTTTCCGGCAAACTTTATTATCTAATTAATTCCCCTACAAATAAATTATTAATAATAATTGTAAAAAGCAGGTCGAAAGTGGCGCTGCATATTTTTTTCTTTTTCTTTCTAAAATCTGAATCCAAAAGGCAAACGCAAATCCATCTTTCTTTCTCCATAATTCATCTACTGTCCAAAAGCAAAACCGAAAAAGGAAGCTTCTTTGTTTATTTTAATAATCAAGCTCACCCCTTTTCATAACCGCCATGTCAATCCGCCGGCGAACCTTGCTCAAGGTCATTGTCCTCGGCGACAGTGGGTACGTCCGTTCTTTCTGGTCTAGGGTTTTCAGTATCTAGTTTTTCTTTTATTTTGATATGATATGTTGCTGTATGTTTATTTGTTGATATCATTTTCAGGGTGGGCAAGACTTCCTTGATGAATCAGTATCCTTTGAGAATTTATAAAAAAGAATTTTCTTTGTTGTATGGTTTCAGATTTCAAGCATCGTAGTAAATTGTTTAGATTATTAGTATTATGGGTGATCTTCTGTTTTAAATTTTTGAACTTTTTTGTTTCTGGGTCTTGAATCTCGTTCTGGGTAAGCTGCATAATCAGTTTGTGCATTTGGGACTGTTGTTAAATGTAGACATTAACTGCTTCAATTAGATATGTGCACAAGAAGTTTAGCCAGCAGTATAAAGCTACCATTGGTGCTGATTTTGTTACCAAGGAACTACAGATTGATGATCGGCTCGTCACCCTACAAGTGGGTTTTCTAGTTCAGTGGTATTCTATGTGCTTTGTTGCTTAATGTTTGGAGGGTTATGGTGGATGGTTTGTGTTAACTTTGTTTCTTGTGTGTTGGTTAGGTATGGGACACAGCTGGGCAGGAACGATTTCAGAGTCTTGGAGTTTCGTTTTATAGGGGTGCAGACTGCTGTGTGCTAGTTTATGATGTCAATGTGATGAGGTCGTTTGATACTCTTGATAATTGGCATGAGGAGTTTCTTAAACAGGTTCTTTTGATGTCTTAATTGATTTTTTTTTTTTAATTTTTCTGCTTGCCTTATAGCTTTAACTGGTATGTTTTGCATCTAATTGTTCTTTTAAAAATGATGAGCCTATTGAACTTTATTGCATTTATTTATGCATCTATATCAAACGGTATAGAGGGTGTGGATGGGTAGAATTGTTTGTTGAAGCATCAATATGGCTATAAAACATGAAAAAATTTGTGCAGTTGGCTTTTATTGTTTTCATTATCTTGATATCTTGCGTTATTGCCTTTCTGGTGAGCTCTGCCTTTTTGTCCCTAAATTGGCAGCTTCGTATCCATTAAATATAGTCCTTTGTCTGCTCATAAATTGCACCAAATTTAATGAATATGGATTGATTCCAGGTCTCTGATAGTGATAGATTCCCTCCCCTGGTTGCCATTCTAACAGTAAACTGCCTTTATTATTTTTCTTATTAAATATAGCTGAAAGCTATCTATTTATTGATTTCAGTTTCAACTTCATTATCAAACATCTTCATTTCCTTCTTTGGTTTGATTATGATATTATGTTTGCTGGATAATTTTTAAAAGATATAAGTTATATAAGTTCTGTTGATCTTCTATGCAAAACTTGCCATGCGTACTCTATCCTGTTGTTCCTTGTACAGTTTTCCTTTTTTGAAACATTGGGTGTTGGATTTTATTATTGTGTTGCTGCACACCACATTTCAAGTTAATCAGATGTCCATAAACATTCCATATTTGCAAGTCTTTAAACATACTTTCATTTTATGCATCAACCATTGCTATACAGATGACAGTTTGAACTTTGAAATAAGCATTTGATTTAAAATTCTGCATGCATGATCCTCTGTATTGGCAAGAATCTTAACTCTGGCATATTGCTGCTGTGAGAAGTGCTAGGGACACTCTCTTTGGCACTTTGTTTTTGAACACTCTCTATGTGATTAGGCCATGTGGAACATAAATTTAATTTGATTGGTGATTAGTGATTGACATTAAAGTTAATATTTTTAAAATTTGAAATTATGACCAATCACATTAAATTTACATCACACTTGTCCCATTCACATGGAGAGTGTCCAAAGGAGAGTGTTAGAGAGAGTGTCCTTAGCATTCCCCTTGCTGCTGTAGACTCATGTAGATGTCCTGAATGGGGAAATATTCCAAGACATGCCAAATTGGCATATTCATGTAGAGACATGGAAGCTCTGTCTTTGTGCCAGCAGTTTCATCTTCATTGTGAACATTTTATTTATGTTTTATGAGCTTTTGTGCTGAAGCCACCAAATTTATGAAAGCATCAAATCCAAATGTACAAGTCAGCTTGTATATCGCCAATTTGGTTTGGCTGACAAGATCTCAAAACTCGCCATGTTTGTTCTCTAACTTCATTCTTTTGGTCAAATGTGGTTGTTTTAACCCATATGTCTTTCCATGGCAAAAAACTCATTGCAGGTACATAAAGGCAGTAAGCATTCAGTTGTAAGTAGTTGCAATAAATAAATGTGTCTAGAGCTTTATTTAGCTTCATGGGATCCTTCAAGATTTGAGATTTAGTTTTAGGCCTTTACTGGTTTCATGAATCATTACCAAATTTCTTTGCTGAAGATTCCAACTAGAACTGCTGACTCACCATTGTGCATGACTACTCTCTGCAGGCATTTTCTCTTTTTGGTTGCTAGTTTGTTTTCAAAATTAGGCATATTGATTTTTTACCAGGCAACTTAGTTTCTGATTGTTGTGTTGACGTTGTCTCCATTCTCATCAATCACCAGGCAAACCCAGCTGACCCCAGAAAATTTCCTTTTATATTGCTTGGAAACAAGATTGATATAGATGGTGGAAATAGTCGAGTGGTAAGGACATGTAGCTTTTATTCTAACTAAACTTCTTTTTCCCTGGTGTCAATCTAATTTACAGCTTGAACCATGTAGGTTTCCGAGAAGAAAGCGAAAGATTGGTGTGCTTCAAAAGGGAACATACCCTACTTTGAGACATCTGCAAAAGAGGATTACAATGTTGATGATGCATTTCTTTGTATTGCCAAAACGACTCTAGCAAATGAGAATCAGCATGACATGTAAGTTCACCCTCCAGCACCTATCTTTTCCTTGTTTGGATGAATTTGGAAAATATTTACCATTGTTCCAATGTAATATCACATCATTCCTTCCATTTGTGATTGCAGATATTTCCAGGGCATCCCCGAGGCTGTTTCAGAGACCGAGCACAGAGGTGGTTGTGCGTGCTGATGTTGAGCCACTCTTAATTTAAACACTTTTAAGTCTTATGCTTTACTCTCCCTTCTTTTTTTTTTTTAAACTCTGAGTTCAAATCCATTTTTTGTATTGGATGTATGCTCTATTTTTTTCTCCTAAGTTGGTGACTAACAGTTCTCTTTTATTTAGTGACTGATATTTACTCCTGTTGTATCGTCGATTGGCAGTTTTTTTTTTTTTCTTTGTACACAGACAATTTATTAGAACTAGGAAAAGTA